GTGTAATTAATTTTAATTATGAAAAGGAAGTCCGGCGGAGTTGGAAAAAAATTTCTGTTACCCTACCGCACCTTTTCCTCTCGCCCTCCCGTGCACCGCCGAAGCGTTATCCGGCCGATTTCACGTTTATCGTCGGCACGCGCAACGCGACGTATTATCCCGGAATTCTGGCAACAGAGAGATACGATCGGCGCGGTGACAGGCCGAGGGAAATAAATCGAGATAATGTGAGATAATGGAACGTGCGGGGCGAGAGACACTAGGTGCGGGCATAAAAAAGAGAGGAAGATAACGCGTCGGCTCCGAACGGGTGAAATTCGTATATCGCCTCGACTTCATTGCGGAGTGAAATCGTAAAAATGAGACGAACACCGGCCGTGGAACGGAGCTTCGAGGAGAAGGAAAAGACAGAGAGAAAAAAAGGAGTAAGCCTAATCACGCGACGCAGCGGCGGCGGCGGCGGAGGCGACCTACGCCGCCTTAACGACGACGTCCTCTCATTTATCAAGAATGGAAGATGTCTCGCTTCTTGCGTCTATCCGTCACTCGTTAACCGTACGATCGTTACTATCGTAAAAGCCGCCGAGGCGCGGAGGGAGAGGAAAAGGACGAGAGAGGGGGAGAGGGAGGGGGAATAAAGAGGAGAAAAAAGAGAAAGATCGGGTTCGAGGTGGAGGGACGTAGTTTCGGAAAAATAATAGCGCCCGGGTCGTCCCGAGAGTGGCGATGGTCCAAGGTATAATAATTTCGAGGAATTTTCTCTCCTACGCCCTTCCTCCCTTCCTCGTCCTTCTGCGTCTGCCGTTGCTGCTGCTTCTGCTTCTTCTTCTTCTTCTTCTTCTTCTTCTTCTTCTTCTTCTATTTCTCCTCCCGTCCTCCACGGCCGAGTATACATCTTTTCTTTGTTACGTTTACGAGCCTCGTCGGATCCGGAGTAAAACCGCGCCACTCCCCTCCTCTGCGCAGCGGCACGCCGGTGAAATAAATCCGTGTATTCCGGAGGGTCTTAAATTCAACCGGAAATAGAATTTGTCCCGGGGCGGTCACGGGCGCCGCCGATGGCGCGAGGAAAGTCCGACGAAACCGTAGAAACAAGAGGAATCGAATGAGAGTGAGAGGAAGCCGAGAGAATTAGGAGAGAGAAGGAAATGGGGGAACGTCCACGTGATCTTCGCGATATAATTTCGTATGTCCTCTCCGCACGGCGAGGAAATACTGGATAAGGAAGGAAATTAATTCTCCTCTCGTATGTATACTTGAAAAATAAGAAGATTATATTTCCCGTTAGAGAGAATGTCGTATCTCGACGCGAGCTGCAGGAAGTTATTATCGAGCATCTCGATATTTTGAAAATAATCAGCATGAATTAGATAAACAACTCCCGTTACACCGGAATATTTTTTCTCCTCGTGTAAGCGACAGTCCCTTGTCGCTGGTCTGTCGTGTTTTCTTGACACCGACCGGATTTTCCCTCAGATAACGAACTTCGCCCAAGATAAGCCCCAGTGAAAGACGAGCAGAAGGGAGAAGCGTCTTAATCTCGATAGAAATGTCCGGGTAGCCTGCGGCGAAAGTTTCTGCAGGGTCGTGTTGTGTGTATGTTAAGAGAGGTTGGCGGAAGGTTTTGGGGGCGCGGATGGAGACGACGACGACAACACGCATTCGCCCACCCGCAAACGCGAGCGCGCGGCGTTACGAGAGCCCGGGGGGAGGCTTTTCACCTTGCAAGTGTACTCGAAGATATTCCCGAAAGCCGAAGAGAGGCATTGTACACAGTACGTGTATCAGAGGCCGGTACTCTCGGCGGTCACACCCACCGCCATCCGGCTCTGTGTGACGATCTGCCCGTCGGGGGTGTATCGCGGAACCCCGTCGGAGACGCGGCAGCGCGGCGCATCACACAGAAGCGAGCTTAAAATTTTCACGAGCCACTCGAGTCGGCTTCCTCCTCCACCTCCCGAAATCTGCAATTTGGCGTACCTGACTGGGTACTCAGAAAGAGGTCTGGCCCGGAAGAGGACGCGAGGCGAGACAGAGACAGAGGGGTGAAAAGAAAGAGAGAGAAAGGGGAGAAAGAGAGAATGCGAGAGAGGCTTGTTGAAGAAGGTGGCCAACCACCTACCGAGTGGGCGACCCGCTGGTGAAGAGAGAGACAGAGAGAGAGAAGCGATCCTCGTGTTTACGTCTGCTTTTTGGAGGAAGGTAGAAAAGTAACCGGCAACGACGCGGGGTGGTGCGGGTGGAAGGAAAAAATGGAAAATAGTGGCTTCTCAAAGGTACTCTAGATACCACCCAGCCACCACCACCACTACTACCGCCACCAGCATATCCCTCCATCGCCACTCCAATCTCTCTCGCTCTCTCTTGAGACGAGCAAGGCTGTTTTCGGCAATTCCTCCAGCGGGTCTTGTCAGAAAAGGTAAAAGAGTACGCTGGATGAATAGAAGCACTACGGATTTCTAGCCTGTTCCGAAGAGGAAGTCACTGAAGTGGGAAGCGAGTGGGATGAGGAAGGACGATGGAGGAGGGCCCAGAGAGGTATGTCGAGGGGGAGAAAGAGGACATCTTAAATTTTTGACGAGACCACTCGTCGGGCAATGGCAACGGTAGAAAACGAGCTGGTGGTAGCCAAGCCAGAGGAGACGCTGCCTGCCTGCCTACCTACCTGCCTGCCTGCCTGCCTACCTACCTACCTACCTACCTACCTACCTACCTACCTACCTACCTACCTACCTACCTACCTACCTACCTACCTACCTACCTACCTACCTACCTACCTACCTACCTACCTACCTACCTACCTACCTACCTACCTACCTACCTACCTACCTACCTACCTACCTACCTACCTACCTACCTACCTACCTACCTACCTACCTACCTACCTACCTACCTACCTACCTACCTACCTACCTACCTACCTACCTACCTACCTACCTACCTACCTACCTACCTACCTACCTACCTACCTACCTACCTACCTACCTACCTACCTACCTACCTACCTACCTACCTACCTACCTACCTACCTACCTACCTACCTACCTACCTACCTACCTACCTACCTACCTACCTACCTACCTACCTACCTACCTACCTACCTACCTACCTACCTACCTACCTACCTACCTACCTACCTACCTACCTACCTGCTTGCTGAGCTGAGCTGAGCTGAGCTGAGCCTTAGCCGCAGCAACAGCGGCAGCGGCGTTTCACTGAAGTCTGCAATTTCGCGGATGCATCTTGGTTGACCTGGCTAGAGACGGAGGGAACGGGAAGAAGCGAGAGAAGGTCTTTGCCCGCTTTAGAAGAACTCCTAAAGCGCGCCTACCACCTCTCCCTCTTTCTTTCTATCGTTCATTCCGTCTCTCATTCTCTTCTCTCCACCGTTTCTCTCTTTCGTCTTCTCGTCCAACACTCTCGCTCTCCTTCGCCTTCTGCCACCGCGTTTCGGCACTCCAGAATTTCGCGTTCCTACTTCGATCCGCGGCGCGTCCGCGCCTCCTCGCGCGCGGAACCCTCTGTCTTTCCCTCTTCTGCCTTGTCCCTCTCGTTTCCCCGAAGAATGGCGAGACGTCGACCAGACCCTAGCAGAGCCTACCGAAGCGAAAGCGAAAGACGGAGTTGGCCGAAAAGGGACGGTCGATGTCTCGTCCTCTTCGTCCCTCTTTCCTGCTCCCGTGTCGCGTTCCCCGTCGGTGCGACGAAGAAGGAGATCGAAGACGGAGGAGAGCGAGAGGGAGACGGATAAACGCGTGGTATTGATCCTGAAACCCCTTGCCCTCCGTCCGCCTTATCCCTCCCGGGCACCCTTCTCACTATCGTGATGAACCCTAAAGTTTTGTTCGGGGCTTTCCCTCCGCAAACCACCTTCCTCCCTCCTTCCATCCTTTCCCTTCGTCCATTCCTTTTGCTATTTCTTTTATTCCCTCGTCGTTCGCGCCCTCTGGTCACCGACACTATTTCCCTTCCCTTACACGGTAATTGGCCGTTCGAGAGTAACGAATTCCAGCCGGCACCCTGGAATCCTTCGCCCAGGGTGACGCGAGTCGACCTTGAACTCGAGATATGCCGTCCGCGCGTTTTACTTTCCCCCTTTCGTATGTGACACATTTTTCTCGCCATTGCCAAGCCTGAATCGGATACCGGAGACTAGTATTTTCGAAGGAACGTATAGGAACATATGGCTATCGACTTTCTTCTCACGTCAGTTCTTAGCAATTTAGGTCTCGTTTTTCAGCGTCATTTATAAATCCGCAAATTAAATCATCGGATCACATACTCATGGTACTGAAAGGAACTTGGCGATCAATGAAAACTTATTTATAAACGCTTATTATAAGACTTATTATAAAACTTATAATAAGACTTATTACAAGACTTATTATAGACGCTTCTTATAAAATTTATTACAAGACGCTTTATTAATTTATTTAAGGAAATATAAAAGTAGTTTACACAGATCGTCGTTCATTGAAAGAAAAAATGTCTAAGAAACAGTAAATATTTATTTGGTGGAGGTACTAACAGCATATTTACTGGTATCAAAATAAAATATTTTTCAAATAAAAAATATACAGTTTCTCAAAACTTTAAGAAAAAATCTTAGTTCTTCACAAGTAATTATTTATTCTATTTAAATTCTATTTAAATGAGAAAAAAAGATTTGGATTTAAGTGAATATGCTGTTAGTGACGACCAAATAAGTATTGACTAATTTTCAGAGATATCTTTTCTCTCAGTCTACGATCGAAGCAACGTCTTCTCCACTGAGGTAGATACGGCGTCTTTCAGAGGTGCCATTAGAAGAGCAGAGAAAATAAACGAACGCGTGCTCTCTGCGTTCCCATTCACGCGAGCGATGGAAACGACGTTGCTCGACGTCGCTGCGTTTCTTGCGCAACATAACGATCTTGGGAACAAAGGGAGAACACGTGAATCACGACAAGAGCGACATTTCCAGATTTTAATTAACGCAATCGATATTTCGTTTCTTTCAGATTCGGCGGCCGGTGAGATCACGCGTTCACCAACACAAGGACTTGATTCCGCGCAGAAGGTCGGAATTGGAGGACGCGAAAAAAGAACGAGATCCATCAACACCAGCACAGTGTCGTCATGTGAGGGTCGATACTTCCTCGATTGCTAATTGCTAACGGAAATCGCACGTGCAAAACATCGATTGCTCGTGAAAATCCGGTACGAAACGACACAGTCGGGGCGATAAGCTGGAGCATAAGCGGGAAGGGAAAGCGGTAGCCGGTGAAGAAGACGGAGGTGGTGGTGTCGCCGAGGAGGGCGAAGGAATTTGGCAGTGGCGACGGTGGTGATCGCACGTCGTCATCGCCGCCGCCGCCGCCGCCGTCGTCTTCGTCGTCGTCGTCGTCGAGCTGTGACGCGCGAGACGACGCGAAGCGAAGCTCACTAGAGGAGGCATGAGGAGGCGAGAGTGACGACGCTGCTGCATCCTCGCACAGATCGTGAGAGGACCGGCGGCCTGATACCGCGGCGATACGCTGGGGCCCGCGATAAAGATGGCCCCCTTCAATATGGCCGGCGTGGCGGGCCTTCTAGCCACCTGCGCCGCCGTTGCTGCTTCCGCTGCCCACCTTCTGCCGTTGCTGCTGTTACTAATCTGCCCGCGAGGGTCCCAGGCGGAACAAGGTAAGCGTTCGCTTCTTACCGACTTTTCTTACCTACCAACCTACCTACGTAGGGCTAATCAAGTTCCAGATGATAATCCACGGCGACACCTCGGGTCGCGATGCATCGCGCCGATTGCCGCTCTCGGATGTATACTTAGCCAGATGCAGGCCGAATCGACCGGAGAAATCTGGTTACCGGTCGTGACCGATCCGCGCATTGTCTCGCGAAAAGTAGGGACCTCCCTCATTCGATGTCGTCTAGCCGACTCAAAATATCACTCTTGCATTAACTTTGCAAATTCCGTCAAACTTGAGGGGTACTCTGCCGTTTTCTCCATGTTGAATAGAAAGAAATTCTTCTCGAGAAAGAAGGAGTAACTCTTCAGAATGATTTCATATTCGATTATCTCGATGTTGTACGTGCATTTGATCATTATTTTTCATTGCACACACACAACGAGCAATATATTAATTGCATAAGTTATTGAACGAATATGCAGACAAAATACGCATGAGATAAGCAAATACTAGCTTGATAAAGAGTTATGAACATATATAATTAGTGAATAAGAAAAACAACAAATTTGGTCCCTTCATAATCTCTTTATCGTTTATTCTTCTTACGTTGAAAATGTGTCAATGTATGTATGAAGATTATTATTATTATTATTATACATCTCTGAAAATATATCGCTACTCGGCGTCCTGCATCCTGCGCGTCCCGCCATGGCATTCCGAATAACAGCTCGTGGTGCTGACACTCGCGCTTCGACCGGAGAAAATTAATTAACGCAATGTCAAGACGAGAGTACGATTAAATATTTCAAAAAGCTGACGGAACATTCCGTGCACGTGTCATGCAACACTCGGAAAATACACGTCGCGCGGCAATACAATGAAAGCAAAAAAAGCCTACGTCATCCCACGTCAATCGCCCCAATGTTGTCACTCCGCCATCGAGCGCCGAGTGATAACAAAATCAAAACATTCCGGACTTTCAGGACGGATAAACATACCCTTTGTGCGTTGTGCTTCTCCGGATGTTTATTCCGTCTCGAGCCGGTGAGCGAGACGCGTGTCGCGCACTGCGTGTATCGGCACGTTGTTTTTCGCTTTTGTCGACTAATTAAAATATTTCGTCGATCTTTAACACGTAATCTCGTTATTTAACACATACACCTTCGGTCGAATCGTATCTATACGAATGTCAGTGCCATGACGGAGGCAGCTAAGGGAGAACCAAGGCGCTCAAGGCGACGAGGACGCAGGATGCCAGGAGCTGGACAGCAATACATCATATGTTTTCAAGATGTGTCAAATCATCTGTTATATAGGAGGTTGCTTTTGACTCAAGTGTCGTTCACCGAGATCGTATTATCTATAGATAATCAGAATTATTTCATATCACGTTCTCGCTTTATCGGGGGAAACGCGATTTCGAGACACGCGTCATTATCCTCTTACACGATCGCGAAAATTTTTACGCAATACACTTCACGCGTGAGATAACCCCACTAGAAATTTATCCCATGTTCCTGATTAGGTTGATCTGGTCTGTATAAAATGATGGATGTTCTTCTTTATTAAGAAAGTCCCACGATGAGAGGACAATCTAAAAAATAAAAATTATTCACTCGCGGTGATATTAATAATATATCGCTCTAATGTACATATTTTTACGAAATTTCTTTGAAATCAGAAAATATTTCCATTTATCCATTTTCCTGACACCGTCGCTTTGTGTGAAAACGACAATTTATCTTATTTAACCCTTCAACGCGTGGGGTGTTTTTTACACTTCAGTCTTCTTTTTCCTTTGATTTCACATAAAAATAAATTTTTTTAGTGCCACACTCCTCAGTACCTTTCTTTAATATTTTGCCTAACCTTTTAAAGTTGGTAGTGTTCATGAATTTTAATTAGTATCGTCTATTGACACTGTTAAAGACGGCTGGAGTGTAATTTACACTCAGGTTACACTTTTGGTCTGTTCGTGTTTCTTACACTTTTCGCACTTAGAATGACACGGGATACATTGGGGACATATTCGAACGCTACGAAAGGAAAGTGAAAGCAATACAAACAGATTTATTGTTATTTTCGTGAAAATAGTGATTATTAGTGAAATAGTATGATTGATAGAACTTTTTCGTCCTATTATATTATTATATGAATTATTTGTGCACTACATGTGAAAAAGTAATGAGTAATTAAAATGATTAATTATTTAAAATACTTCTAAATGATTAATTATATATTAAAAAAATTATTTTTTATTTAAAAGCAAAATTTAAAAGCACACTTTTTTTATTTTAAATGTTTTAAATGTTATAACGACTTTTTTATTTTTATGCTGTATTAAAGTTTATGTTTATGTTGTCTTAAACGAATATTTTTATGTTGTATTAATATTATAAATTTTATATAAAATAAATGCGTATATATATTGTTATTGCATTTTGATTAATTTACATTAAATATTTTGATTAAATTACAAAGAAATTGTGTTGAAAATTTATTTTAAAGCTGTCTTTTCAAGACGGTCATAATGCTCTAGCCATCGTTTGAAATATGCTATATTCTAATGACTAATATTAACAAATATATTAAAATTTTGGCAATCTATCCACGAATTTAGTTTCCTTGAACCTTTCTCTTACAAATTATACTATGCAACGTTAAATTTTTTATAATAAACTATAACTATAACTATAAGATTTTTCAAGTTATTGAACAGCTTGTAAAAATTGAGTGTTCTGAGTTTCAATATAAAACTGGTTATTATTCAGAAAACATTAAAATTAAAGTTTCAACTTGTTAATATAGCTTAAGAAACGTGCAACGATGGATATAGGAAATTATACAGGAAATGAAAAATATTAATTGGTTTAATATTTATAAATAATGTGGAGTGTAATTTACAACCTACGCCCCCGTTTAAGTTTCAAATTTTGACGCGCCTGGAGGATTAACCAATAAAGGACGGAGTTTTTTGTTTTTAAATAAAAGTGAATGAAATTTACGAGTTACGAGAATTTTTGAGGTCGCTAATTACGAATCTGCGATCAGAATTCCAAAACGCAACATGGCAGATCCAATATAACAGAGAAAAATGACGAATTTTCGTGTTTTTCAAATAATCAATTTCTTTTTTAATTCCAAATTTTTGATACAAAAATCTATTTATGAACATATTTTCGAGTAGTTGGAACAAAAACATAAGGATAAAAGGAGTTACGAAATAAAATAGAAAAAAAGCAAAAAATTTTAAAAACAAGAAAAATACAAAAAACGAAAAATGGAGTACTGCCACGTGCCTGTCGTGATTCTAGTTTTAGCTGAGAGTAGTTTTCTATTCCAAAATGATAAAGAAGCGCATACTGAAAGATGTAGTTTTTTAATTTGCTATTTTTATCTGCTATATTGAATCCGCCATTTTAAATTTTGAAAATTTGTTAGCAAATTCATAATCAGCGATTGCGAAAACCATTTGATACGAGGCTTTGAGGTAATTAATTGAAAAACATGAAAATTCGCTACTTTTATCCGCCATTGTATTCGCCACTCCGTGTTTGAAAAATCTGATAATAGATTCATAATCAGCAATCTCAAAAACCTTTTGAGTAATATCTGCTGTTGACTTTTGGTTTTTCTCGAATGCTTTCTAATTTAAAGTAGTGACGCCATATGGAGTCACTCGTCTTTTCCTGGTTAAACAAAAAAATTTAGATTAAAGTAAATATATGCCAGTAGTACTCGTTAAATAAATATTTTTTTTTTTTTATTTTTCTGAGATATTCCCTCTCAGTGTAGTTATTAAAATAATTCTTATGATAAGATCCTGATTGCGTTATATGGCTTTTCACAGGAGCCGATAACATCGCTTTATATAAGCCAGATAACTAATTGGAATCAACTTGATCATAGAATAAATTTCTAGTCGAAGATCTCGCGAGAGTATGGGTCAATTTTCTATCGCTGAACTGGCTGCACTAGTTCTCTCTCATCTTTCTTCCATCAAAGTTTATCTATATATCTATCTCTTTTTAAATTCCGAAAGTGTACACTAGTTCAGCAATAGAACACAGACTGTGTATCTGCTCGATACGACGTGTCGCGAAGTACCTGAGAAATCGACGCGGCTCTTCCCCGCGACTCTAGCGGGGAAGCGAGCATAAGTAAGGGACACGTTAGCTCGCATCAAGCCGACGTTTCCTGACGCGCTTCGCTCGTAATTTCGCGGCGCGGCGCGGAACGGCACGACGACCCGCGTGATTTATTGCACGGAGACGTTGAATACGAAAGGAAGAGACGAGGGAAGGGAGAGAGAAAGAGAGAAAGAGAATAAGAGAGAAAGAGACCAAATTGCCACGACGCTAATTGCGTACGCGCCGCTATACTTACCCCCACAAACACGCACACGCGAACGAGCGAGCGTCCTAGTTCGATCACGTGGCGGCTACGAGAGCTCCTCATCTACTTTAACTCGCATTAGGCCGTTATTTTATATAATCCTGAACCGTTCTCTTCTTCCTGGCGAAACAAAGGCGATTTCTCGCGGCCTTTTATTCGACGTTTCGAACGTAAAGCGCGATTCCAGCGGTGGTTTTCCATAGACTGACGTGTCGACGACACGTTAGTCGCGACAGCTGTCGCGAAATTAATGGAATATCTTACAACTATATTACTTTGCGGATCCTTTTTCTTATCTTTTTTTCTTCCACGACGAATATCTTGAACTAATTCCACGATACGTAGTCCCGCGAGAACGGAGGGGTGGGCTTGTATTGACGGGAAGAAATTTCAAGTCCCCTTATACTCTGACTAAGCGCTTTGTCTTTTGTCCGCTCTTAATCGCGAAATAATTCCTCGTCGCGTTGAGACTCAACGGCACGTTTAATTTTGCTTTTCCTCACCGCCTCCCGTCCCTTTTTTTCACCTTTCTCTTTTCCCTTTCTCTCTCGCTCTCTCCCTCCTCTTTTTTTCTTTTCTCCTCTTTTCGCGAACACCGCCGAGTCA